GCACGATGTTGAAAAGGGCCCGCATACATAATAGTACACACACCCTTCTTCAAGGGTGAGTTACTCCCACAACGAACAGGATTCACAGCAGCAGACAAAAGCTGGTAAAGCACAAAGGCACTACAGGATCCCCGCTGAGAAGGCAGCTAACAACACTTATCATTATCTCCGAGCAGGAGAACAGCTATTTCACTGGCTGAGCTGCCTGCTCCCTGAACAAAAGACTGTATCAGTAGTTCCAGGGCACAATTTATTTACAAGCCAAGGTTGTAAATCTCAGTTGTGTACGGGCAAAGATGGCAAGGAGGACTTCAGCTACGGAGCAGCAAGAAAGGCGCCACTATAATTATTATTTTTAAACTTCTTGTTGCCTTTTTTCTTTTTGGTTGGACATTTCAAGCCTATGATATTTAGAACTGTGGAATATTGCCATGGTCATGGTGTACATATTTTCATTTTTATAGAGTTTATATTATACAGAGTTAGTGTTAGAACTGGATTTTATCAGAAGTGCCTCTGTAGGTATACACTAATAGCTTTGTAGGGCATGTGGACATCGCAAATGCATTATTATTTTACAGATAGTGTCCACATGAAATACAGCTGGTTACAAAGAATGATTTTATGTGGATATCTGTGGGACCAGAGCAGGGCAGCAGAATAGGAAACAGGGAGTTATTGTTAGAAGTTGCAGTAATATAGTGTTTGCTCTCATTGCCAGGGAAACAAAAAAGCTAAAAACAGATAACTTAAACAGATGTGAACTGAGACATGAAGCGATAAGTATGCTCCAAATACAGGATCAGTCTTTCCTCAGTCTTCTCAGTGTCTGATACCCTGATACCCACCTCTGTTGTTTTTAAAACAAACAACAACCAAACAAAACCCTAAGATCCAAAGTAAATATTTTGTTAAAAAGAACTGCATATACAAAGTTCTATTCAAAAGAAATTTATTTTGAGACTTCAAAACTTAAATCTCCTTTGCTCCCTAATACTCACCATGCACTTACTTTGTCTGAGAGCTTTAGGTATATTCTGTACCTTATGGACTCCTACAAAAGATCTCAAAGATCCCACTACTAGCTACCTAAATACGCCCTAAGCCTCAGTGCAATCCACATAAAAAGGACAAAGATGCAAGCAAGTGCATTTACATCTGCATAAAAACCCACTTCCCCAGTGCTCTGTGACAGGCAAACATAAGAAATTGCAATAAATTAGCACTTGCAACTAACAAGCTGTTCTGGGATCACCTTACTAAATGCATTTCAGGGAAGTCTGAATGACCATTGCAGGCTACAGTACAGTAAGGGCCCTCCTCAAACCTATTTTTCGGTTTCTGTTCAGTTGAAACCAATCTAGGCCTGAGATCACTCTAAGTGGTACGATGAGGAGATGCGCTAAGAAAGCACACTCTTGAACTGGGCTAAAATACACAGATCTGCACCAGAGATCACTGAATTCCTACAGGAGGAAGATACTTATAATGCCCTCGCTTTAAACTAAGCATCACAAAATGCGCACGGGGCCTGGAAAACAACAACAAAAAAAAAACCAAAGGCTGGAGCTTCTCCTGCAATTTAGACATTCGTAACTCATGTGGATTCCTACAAATCTAATGGAGAAAGAATCCAATAGGAGATCAGTCCTTCAACAGAAATGCATTAGAATCACTCACTCAGACCTGGCCACCTACAAAAACTCCAGGAATTTATCATCTGCAACTCATCTGCTCCACTTAGATGGCATCACCAAAAGGCACAAAACAATAACGAGCACATACAAATTACCAAGGAGAGTCTTGTTTTCCCAGAAGAAAAAAAAAAAAAAAAAAAAAACCCACACCAATGTAGCATGCAAAATCATTTCTGGTGCTATGGTGTAACTTTTCCAGTTACATAGGTTATTACCCAACCTCCAAGGAGCACAAATATGAAATCATCTGTGATACCTGGAATCATCAAACAAAGTTTGCACAAACAATCCTTAGAGAGAAATGGAAAACTGTCAATGGAGCATCCTGATCTGGAAGGAACAGTGAGAGTCCTTATTGTCTAATTCTGGCTGAGGAGCCCCAATTTTGGCTGTGCTACAGCCTAACCTCCATGGAAGGAGAACACATCAACCAACGACCGGTTATTCCCATTTATCATTTCCCCCATGATGGCGTCCTGTAAGGACATGGCTAAAACATGGCTAAGTGACCAAAAGAGCAGTCACCCTTCTTCCTAAGTGAACGCTTGCACTGCCCAGGTTCCCCTTTGGGAATGCATTTTAAGAAGAGCAGAGGTTCCTACACCAATAAATTCCAGTCTCTCCCTCATCCCTGGTCACAGCATTCCCAGCTCCACGGACTCAGCTGTTTGCGTGAGTACATTGTAAAGCCTTTCAATGATAGAGTCTGCTGCAAACGCAAAACCACTCAGCGCTGGAGCTTTCTTTTTTTAGGGAGGCTGAGGGGAAGGATGGAAGGGAGGAAGAATGGGAGCCTGCCTTGTTCAATTAGATTGTTCCCCAAAGCTATTTGCACAGCCGTGCTCTGAAACAGATGAGAGAATAAACATCTTTGAGGGCGGGAGAGCTGTGGAGATGAAATGGGGGCGGTGGGGAGGAATGATGCAAGCAGCTGGGAGCTGGAACCTCAAACTGGCTCCGCTTCTGTGAGCTGCGCAGCAGCGAGCGACACATGAAGCCCACATTTACTTCAGCGTCTTTCATCGGGAAAGCACTCCAGACACTTGCTGAAGGTCTGAAACATCCAAAATCTGACACCAAGGCTTCCAGAAGAGGCAGTCACTCCCCCAGCTCTTGGCTTTGCGTGTCCTATGCACTAGTTTTGCCCGTCGTGGCGCAGAGCTCGCGGGTCTCTCGGTTCGCCCCTGTGGAGGTGCCTACCTGCCTGAGAGGGGCAGAGGCCCCTGTCACCAGGCTGGATCCACCACCTCATCAGGAGGCACCACAGCTCAGGGCTCTCCAAAATACATGGTCCCCTGAACTTGCCTGTAATCCCCATTAAATGGATCCCCTCCCCTATTACTTATATTTGCTTGCAGTCTGGATGAGGAGGATGAGAAAGGGCAGCAGCAGTGGCACGTATATAAAATTAGCACGCCTGCCGTTCTCTTTCTCTGTCTGTCATCAGCTGTGCTGAGGCCCCTCTGCCAGTTGCATTTTTTTTTGGGAAAGGTGCCACCTTGCACAGGGCTCCTTCCTTGGTGTGAATTAGAGAGGTACTGCTGGGCAGAGCACACCAGCTTAAGCATTTTGAAGGAGCGTTCCCACCACTTAGCAGAAGAACTTGTTTACACCTCGGCATTTCAGCCCGAGTTCAACCCGTGCTCTTTTCAAGAGAATTTTGTTTGAATGAGATATGTAAGTCAGGAGTCTTGATCTCCATTCCCTCTTCCAGTCTGACTTTGATGTGTGCCTTTGGGCAACACATTTACCCTCTCTGTGTCAGTTTTCCCTGCCTGCAAATTAGAGATTTTCATAATTATCTTAATAATCCATTAAACACATTGGGATTTTTGAATAAGCACTACAATGTATAAAGGTTAACATTGTTCCTGAGAGCCAAGTAACCCTCCTTATGTCACTTTTGCAAAAACACTGCATCTGATGTTTGAAAAAAATGTATCTGCCAAGTAGATGTTACTGCAGTAGATGTTCAGCACATGTTTGCTTCTACTGACGCACACTATTAGAAAAATTGCTTGAGACAAATTGAGATATTATAGAACAACCCCATTATGAAGCTAGACCACAAAAAAGCTTTTTTTAATTTAAACTAGATCATCAATAGAATAGGGAAGAGATGGATGAGAATGGGAAAGTTGGTTATAATTATTGCTCTGAAGATCTGGAACATTATCTGACAGGATTTTAATTCTTGAGTCTCTATCAAAAGACTGGCAGTACTCCAAGGTCTTCAAGACATTTTCGTCCTTAAGGGTAGCAGGAGGATAACAGTTTGAGCAAGAGGCCTTTACTTGCTATTAC